TTTGAACAGGCACTGAACCAATCCCAATGTGAAATCATATTCCACACTGCTGCACTTTAGTTCCAGATTAGCCCAGAACACTGAGAAAACCTGAAGACCACAGATGAGCAAATGGGCTCAAAAGCAATGTCATGATCAGCAAATCACCTCAATATCCCCCATTCTCCACTCTGCCAGTTACAATCTTGCCTATAATTTTTAAAACACTTTTGACAGTTTTTGAGGCAATATAAACCCTGATTCAGTAAAGCATCTGGGAATGCACTCAAATTCCATTTCAGTTGATACCAATGTACATCACAGAAACAGGTCCTTTGTATATCAGAGGGTTTTATTAATAAGATCTTTACAATATTCTTATTTGCATTTTATGTTTTGCTCAATCCAATTAGACTTCAAGCAAATATTAATTAGGAAACACTCACACGGACACAGTAAACATACATTCCCGGGGAGGAAAGAATTTTTTTCAACAATCATATTTTGAAAAATAAAGATAGCTCACAAAGGCTTTTTGGAGTTTGAAACCGTGTAGTGGTGTTGACAAACATCACTTGGCTTGCCAAATAAATCAGGAGAACTGAAATTACCTAATGTTCAGAATCTGGGTATTATTTATGCTTTTCTGTCTGCACGCCATAGAAGAAAAAATAGACTAGCTATAGCAATGTTCTTCTTTAAATCTGAGGAATCCTAGCCAAGATACTTACACTAATACCTGTGACTCTAAAACATACTATTTTAAAGGGATGTGGCTAAGTGTCTCTCAAGAAAATATTCAGAAAAAAATACCTTCTGTAATATTGGTATAATATGCTTACCAAGTAATTTTGCTTTCATGACACTGTGCAATGAAAAATACTCAAAGGTTCTGTGCAACTAAAGTTCTTGTAAAGCTATTTCCAGCTTTCAAGATAGTATTTATTATCATTATTACTGTTATTAGTGCAAAAGCTAATTAAATAATACCTAACACATATTTTGTGCAGGTTCATTTGCAATCAAGTTGCAAAGACTCTCTGAAGCTTACAATTTCAGATCTAAAATGATTGTGCTCATTTCATATCAGTAATAATTTTAAACAACGGAAAGCACTTAAAAAATTGAAGCTTCACTGCTTGACTGTACTATATTTCATACACAGCCAAACTGCTCCTTTTACAAGTGGTACAAAAGATGTAATTACTCTTAAGCAGATATTCTAGCATAATATGATATTTTAGAGCACAGCTATAAAGGGTTCGCCAATGCCATAAATTGCAGCAATGATGTGCATGCCCGCCTACACATCTGCTATTAACTTTGATTTCCTATTTTCTGACATACATTTCACTTTCAAAATCATTGAGCAGGACCCAAAATTCATCTCCCAATTTCCAGTTTTATTTCCTTTTTAACCAAATTTTTCCATCTCATCTTTGGCCAGAACTTTCAGAAATTATGTGATTCACAGCATGAACACAATACAAATTTTTCATATAGTCATGGATTTAGAGAAATCTTAGAAAAAAATGTAACTATGTTTGCAAGTTATTTTGATTTTTCCTCTTTGGACAGTATCTTACATGCAATACTGCTGAAAGGTGACCTGTAATTGCACTTGTAAACAACCAGGGCCAGGACAAGGTAAGAAACACGACTGAAAATACGATTGCTGGTGCTTCTTTTTCTCCACAATGGCCTCAAAGTTAGACTGATGACTCTCTGGGCTTTTTGCCAACACCAGATTAAAATAGAAAGAAGGGAAATAGACAACCTGCGGTCCAAAATTTAATTCTGACCTTATGTATAAGCTCTATGGGAGGCTTGGGCAAAGTAGAATGCTAATCTACGATATAAGGAGGGCAGCACAAGAAAACTAGAAAAAATCTAACCAGAAAAATGTCTTTTCTATCATGTGCACCTTTAGGTATTTTGAAACCATCGATCTTGAAAAATAATCAAACCTTCGTGTATAAACATTACGTTGTTCTCAGAAAGTAATATTTAATATACAATCTCCACAGTCCACTTTCTTTCAGCATGAAATAAACTATGTTTTCATGGCTTTAACCCACTTTTTTCAAACCGCAGATATTTCTGTTCCATAGATTTGTGCATTTATGGATCTCATATGGCTTTAACCCACTATATTCAAACCACAGATATTTCTGCTCCATAGATTTGTGGGTTTATGGATCTTATTAACGATGAAATATGGACAGCATATTAGAAAGCAGATTTGAAAGTGAAGGCTGAAAGGCTCTCTTCATTCCATCAGAACAGGCTCTACTTGTATTTTCTCTCATATTTCATAGCGGAAGTTAAGTATTCTTCTGTTAAAACATACTTGCTCTTGGACTTCTTTACAGAAAGAGCAGATTAAAAAACAATCAAATTAATGTTCTTCACAAAAAGGTTTACAATAAATAAACTTTTTTTTCTACATTTAAATAATACTATAGTGTTAAGTCCAAAAAGGCAAACAAGAAAATATCTTCATAAAATTTTGCAGATGCTGACTAATTTTGCTATAACTTCCTTGAAGGCTCTATTATTAAGTTTTTTTCTAGGGGTTTCTTTTAACCTTTAAATGGAAAATAAAAGTAAGGTAAACAGATTAAACACGATTGCCTATTTCCTACTACAAACTCCATCACTAATTATGTACTACTGTAATTCATTGCACTTGAATCCTTTGATTTCAAACACAAAGATCTAGAAAAATAAGCTGTTAAATACCATTGATACCCTATTAACTAACTACTAAAATAACTCTGTAATTGTATTAATCAGAACTCAATTTTGTAAAATGACTAAATAAACACACTAATTAGTAAAAGCAGTTTAAGCTGTTCTGAGATGGGATCTTGAAAATTAGATGCTTGAATGAAAATTCTCAGAAAGCTTGCTTTATTGATCATTATTCTTGGAATATTTGTATAAGACATTCTATTTATTTAGTCTCCTGCCCTTTCAAGAGAAAATTCCCAGGACATTATTAGAGTTCTCTGTTCTTGATGCAGCTAGACAAGATACAGATACACATGCAACTTAGAAATAGCAACTTTTTTCCACAGGGAAATTCAGGTCATCAAAACACAGGAAAAGAGATTAATGTGATGGCAATGAGGGAAAGTTTTGAAACTGTTATTTATGTATTCACAACCCCAGAAGAAAAAGAGATGAGAATCTTTCCTCACTATTGCCTTCAGAGGGATTTATTCTGACTGAAGCTATTACCAAAGGCACTATTGTGAATTTTGATAGAATAAGCCAAGGAACTGTTCTACAAAGTAGCCTGACACAAAAAATTTCAATTACATTATATAAATCTTTTGTTAGCTTTTAGCACAGCAGAAGGTATTGTGGGACAGTGCAAGAAGTGCTTATATAAGCAGCAGAGTGACATAACTTTGGAAAGGACTTGCCAATGGCATGCAGAAGTCAATTCCAACAACATGCTGTCCACTTCAGAGAGCAATACAGCATGCAGTGTGAGACTGGCCTCACACTGCAGGCACTTTAGTGTGCACAGCTTCTGGCATAAGCTTTATGGGCAAAAACCAAAATTTTGTGAATAATTTTGAATCAGTACAATGGTGGTAACCAGCATACATTGATTAATATTATGTGTTTGGATGCCTATTTGTATTTTCAAAGAGCCACAACACAAATGAATCACATAAAGACCTCTAATTCAAGCAGAATAAACTTCGAAGCACTTTAGAAACTTATGTAATAATCCCTGTAAGTGCATCTATAAACAAGTTGTTTCAACACTTCCTGCTTAGGCTTGGTTTCCTTCATGCTTTTGCTGAATGACTGCCATGCAGACTTGATGAAATATTGATACTCCCAATGCTGACTGCAACACTATATGCAGTAATGTATATGACAGAAATAAATACTACATTTATGATGTTTTCCATATTGTCTTCATTTCATTGCTTCCTTTTTGTTACACTGATTTAATGCTTGGTTAGCTACCAAAGAAATTTGTGATGAATTTGAAAAAACTAATAGGAGCCTGGAYTTCATCTGTCATAAAGAATCAAATAATGAAACTGGAATCACACTGGCTTTGTTATTTTTGTGCACTAGAACCAAATGAACAGTAACAGTAGTGTTGCCTTGAGATCAACAAAAACTCCTTTCAAAAATCTCTCATGGACTGGTCAAAGAAACAGGGAATTTACTGGAAATATAAGCAAGATTTACAGAATAAAGAAGTTAAGGTTCCAACCACTTCTAACCCTTTCCCACTTACTTTTACGTGAAACCACAAATCAAATAGCCACTGACATGTGGAGGCCATGCTGTACATTGCTAATACTTTGATTACAATTTCAGGCCATGAAATTGAAAACACTTGCACAATTCCATGTGCAGGAAGAACTATTTGATTGGTTCTTCTGCAATAACCACCTAGGAACCTTCAATCCACATATGGAAAGGCAGAAGATATGAAAGGGAAAAAAATCAGATTTGCATGGACTATATATAAAATATTTGAAAGAACTCCTGAATAGTTACACAACAGTGTAATCCAAATGATTTTCACTGTAGTGAGTCACATTAGGTAACTTTTTTCTGGTTAGGTTTATACTGTTTATATTCTTCCTCAAGTAGTAATACCAAAATTTAATTTAAAGTAGTGACTTTCATACAACCTATGTCCAAAACCAAAATCCTTCTCAGTAAAAAAGAATGAAGCAATGTTGTAAGACAGGATTCATCATTAACAATTTTTCATCAGATGGAAGTTTGGAAGCCAAGGAAGGAAGAAATCTGAGACTAGTTTGCTCAGACACTAGAAAATGTCCCTTCCATTTAAATTTTTTGCGTGATTAAAAATGTAAGTATTCACAAGAAATGCAGAACATTAAAAGCCTATATATTTACCACGACCCTTAGCTCCTATAGCTGCAAAAAAATTAATGTAGAATGATTTTCCCCAAAAATATTTATCACAGTGCTACCATGAGTACTTCATGCTACACAGTTATTCCAATCCATACCTGCAGGCCTGTCAGCTGAGCTGCTGACTTCCCTTTGAGGCAGAGAACGAGTGCCAGGAATGCATTTAAGTCCTCCAGAGAGAGGCTACTGACCTAAGACAGATGAAAAAATAACATATTACTTGAAGGCTCTGAAGAAGAGTTTTCTGAAAATTGAATCCTCTTGCTCTGGCTCATCCAGCTTAGATCAGTGACATCGTGCAATTATGACCACCATGAATGTGTCATGAAGGAGAACACACAGGGAACAAAACACTTTCTTTCACAGCTTGAATGAAGTGCATACCCCAATACTCGTGTATAGTGTATACACATGGATTTCACCAAACAGGATGCCCACCCTTAATTTATTCCCTTCTCCACTTCCTTTGGAGTTTCTTAACAACAGGAAATTCCTCCCTCTATGTAACATTAAGCACAGTGAAAAAAAAAAAAAAAAAAAGATTTAAAAAAAAATTGCTTTATAAGCAAGACATGATAAAAACCACCTCAATGAGCCACATTTATGATGACCATTAAGATTTTTGAAAAGATCTTACACATTTATCTATTAGAAATTTAAAAAATATTCTAAAATATTTCAATTACCTACTTTAGCCTAAATTTCAGGTTTATCCAAACATATTTGATTTCTTTCTGATTTTAAGGCTACATATGGAAGCAGGGAAAATGAAAAACTAAAACATAAAATGTTCAAGTGGGGAAACAGAAATGACAATTCCAAATTTATGTAACAGTTCACTCCTATCAGTAAAGGGGTTATGGGGGCTTTTTCTGCATGAAAAAGTGTTTTAAGTTTTTATAGAGGCATGTGATCACCTCAGAATAAAGACAGCACCTTGAGGCCAGCTGGGATGATTCCATGACAGTACCAGTTGAGTTCTAATCCTTTTCTTCCTCTTATAAAACAWTATAGATCCTACATGTGCACCAAGACCACATTTCTGTTATAGCTGTGGAGTATATACAGAGAGCACCAAAGCGAGATCCATAAAGCATTACAATTTCTTATCAACTGGAACTTGAGGAATGGTTTCTCTACCAAAATGTGGAAATGTGCACTGTGGGCTTACAGAACACTTAAGAGGCTGCCTAAAACTCTGCACTGCCTTTCTTATAGCAGCTTGATTTCAGGGTAATGTTGGTATATTCCATTTCAAGCCAGTAAGAGTTTCTATTTGGTGACAGATAAAACAGAGAGAAAAATTAACAAAAAAGTATTGATGTAAACCAGCAGGGGAAAAAAAACACTAAGAAGCCATCTATAATTATGTCAGTTATTTATTTGCTTAGAAGGAGTAGCCCATTCTTTCCTCCTTAGGATAAAAATCACTCAACCACTATTCAGAATTAAGTTTGTTTTTTTTTAAATTAGGTCCTGCTGCTTGTCCCACTGTAAAATACTTTCCCCTCTATGATGATGTACAATCTTGCATAAAGCACAAGAATGTGAGGGATATCAGAAACATTTTAAGCTTTCAAAATGTTCCTTGGTATTCATTAACTCCACCTGTCTGCTAGGATCTGATAATGGCCCTACTTTACCCATTATTATTCAAGTCAGGTGTCAACGTTCTATAGATTGCAACAAGAGAGGTTTACTAAACCTGAAATTTTATACATTGAAGTAACAGTAAAAGTAACTTTAATCTAAAAAACAATTCTTAACACTTGCACAATTTTGTCTTAAGAGAAGGAAATAAAAGATTGCTTGCAACTACAACAGCAAGAAAATGCCCTTAACCGAGCAGACCAGCCAAAAATGCTGATGAATGCAAAAACACTTCTTTAGAGAAATATTTTATTCAGTAATCAAACTTGGTGAGCTATCACAATTCTACTGTTAGATTCATTCCAAAACTGGTAGAGATTGAAAGAGAAATTTCCCCTTTCTCTGGAGGCTTCACAGTTCTATATTTGAACTCATTCACTCCTTCCCCAACTTTAGAGATAGACCCATTATTTTTTAATTTTTTCACTATTTTTGTTCTTAATTTGGAGAACATTTGAAAAGTATCCCTAAAAAAAGTATTTTTCATATCAACACTTTTTTTGCATAGTTAAGGTTTGTTTCTTGGAAATTTTTTCTTACTTGAAAAAAAAACATATCTGAAGTTTTCATTAAATACTTGCACACACATTTTGAGGAAGCCAGATGGGTTAGTCAGTATGCTGGTTCCTGCAAAACCCTCAATTTTAGTTTAGATTAAATGATGAGTAATTAAATTTTAAAGAAGTTTATTTTCCCTCACATGAGCTGAAGAAAGACTTGAAGCCTGCTTCAGGGCAACCTACAATTTTCCCAATTTAAATAATTTCTGAGGAAACAATTTACCTTCCTTCTCTGGTACAAATTTAAGACTAAAGCATAAAGACAAGAGTCAGATCACAGTTAGACAAGCCTTGTTTTCTCAGCCATAAAACAAATGGAAACAATATGGCCAGCTCAAAGCATGGCTATTGACACTCCTGCCCCCGTGTTTTCCTCGCAAAATCCCATGAGAACAAACAGTCAATATCAGAGAAATAACCAAAGTTTAAAATAAAGCAGCAATGAAAAGCATTTTATTCCAAATTGATTTCTTAGTCTGGTTCACGGGGTAGATTGTATCAGGGAAACTCAGAGGACAGAAGAGAATCAGGAAAATGGGGCAGTTCTTGAGAAACTGGCACTGCCCTGAAAAACCTTCCATCAGACTGAGGCCTTTGCATGATGTCTCTGCTTTTATTCCTGTTGAAAGCAAGAGCTGTAAATCTGTTTTCATCTCTGTATGTAACAGTAGACATTGGATAATAAGTTCTGAAACCCATTTTCCTGACAAGCATTCTTTTCCATTTTACTAATATGGTGTGATCAAGATTCAGTAAATCCACATTTCTGTAGGTGTTCCATCCTGTTACTCCTCTTCTTAATCCCACTAAAGAAAACCTTCACAAATAATTTAGTTATCATGCTATGAAAGGGTGCTTAGAATAGCTCAATAAATAAGTGAAATGGTGATAAATGAAACTGCATTTTCATATCCAACAGGAAAACCACTTCAAGTACATTAAAAGGTAGGTACATGATATATATCTTACAGACTTGAAACTGCAAGGCATGAAATTATGTTCATTAAGTTTTATCTTCGACAATTTTTCAATTTGTATTCTGTTCTACAAAAATTAAAGAAAAAAAAAGACCTATATGGATCATTTGTATAATTCCCATATGTACTTCCTCAATGGGTCACATAAGTTTGATTAAACATATCAAGGGAAATTAAACGAAAAGTCAGGGAGAAGTTGTTTTCATGTATCACACGCCAGTACAAATCTCTTATTGAGGAAAGTGAAGTCTAAAAATGCAAAACAAAAGATAAAATGCAGTTCAGTTTAAGTACAAGTGAAGCTGATCTTATCAGATTAGATAAAAGCATAATTTGCTCATCCTCAGAGAGGAAAATCTGCTTGTTAGATCACCATTTGAAATGTAGCAAGTACAGACAATATATTAAATTCCCAGAAGAAAAGTAAATAATGAAGCAATACTGTATTTAATCTTGTGTCCCTTTTTATTACAATTAAGGTAGTCTGCAGGCTGCCAAGTATTTGGAATTATAACAGAAGTGCTACCTAATGATCCCCTGTTACTCAGAATTTAATGAGAAGAGCCATATCCTCATTTCTGGCGTGAAAATTAATAGACTGACACGACAGCATGAAATAGTAGTGAGAGCTGACTACATATTTCTATTGTCAATTTGCACACCCTGCATGGTCACCTGAGGGAATGTCTCCTTTGATGACACAAAGGAAACATGAAAGGAATAACCTTAATTTGCAAACAGGTTCCAAAGAGCAGGGGAAATCCCTCAGTGTATACTCTCTGCTAGACTGCCCAAGGGGTTTTGTCATGGGCATGGGAGAGTTATGATTAGCTCCTAAAAACCCCAAGTATTTCTTGAACAGGATGGTGCATGTTAAGTGGAGTAATTAAAATACTGTCATGCAGTACTTTTATATTTGATCAGCTATGCCTACAGTAAGGATTAAGAGAAATGCCCAGCATAGGCTAGCAAAAACCAGTTTATTAGTCCTTTGCATTTGTCAGGGCTGACAGCTGAGGAAAAAATAACTGTCCCTCTTACCTGCATCATAAGATAGGCCAGCAAGCAGCAGAATCCTGCAACAGGTGCTTCTAGAGCTTGGAGTTCTTCCATCTCCTCTTGAAGGTGAAAGCATGCCAGAAGTGTATTATACCGTTGCTTTTCCACATCAGGCCCTTTGGCAAGCCAGAGTGTTTTCAAATTAGGTGTTCCACCTATGAAAGAAATCCATTATTTTCTTTTGGCAGCAGCAAGACAAAACATGTCTACCTCATTACAATCTGAAAGGAAATGACTGATCTGCCCCTGGCACTTGCAAGGACCACAGAGTTGAAAATAAAATGTATTTGACAAAACTTGCATTTGAAAAAAAAATGAACAAAAAAAATGTCCTGTAATTTAAACAAAATATATTGAATACAGGCATGTTTAAGTAGAGTGGACTGAATTCAATTCTTACAGTAACACAGACAACCTTGAGACAGCAGGCATTTAACCTTTGCAAGAGCAAAGTTTGACTTCAAGTGTGCTCTTTCCTTTGGGGATTCACAAGATTAAATGAGGTTCACTTCATCACAAAATAGTGATTTACCAGAAAACGACCAGATCTGTTTCTTCTCTCTCTCTCTCCTAGAGTGAACATATCAGGGGTCCCTGAAGGATCCCCGCATTGTCTCCCTTCTGATCACCTGCTTCAATGAACACACTGGTCACCTATGCTACTCGATAGTGAACACGCATTCTCCACAAGGCACTGCGTGGGGATGACTCCTCTGCGGCAGGTTCCAGTTTGGGAACAAAAACAAGGAGATCTGGCATTTTTCAATTCCTAGGCTACTGTCTGAAACACTGTTGCAAACACACACAAAAGAACTGTCATCAGTTATGAATAATGTATCTTTGCACTTTCTCCAGTATCATTCATGCTTGTCTCTAAATCCTTAATATTTACCCCATGCTGCCATCTCCCAACTTGTGACACTTGTGTGAGCTAATGCAAAATTTGCTCCTCATTTAAATTACATTTAATCTGTTATCAAAATAAACACTAATGCACGTGAAATAACAGAACAGGCAACTGGTTATGYCTGAGAATCTCAATAAAAGACAAAATCGTGCCATAAAGTATGGCTGCTTCTGTAGTTAAATAAAATGAGGTGTGAATTTTAAATGCGGACTAATTAAGCTACATTTGGTAACACATTGTCCTTTTTTATGTGACATGCAGCAACTGCAGACCAGTTAGGAACACTCTGGTGATAATAAATGCTTAAAGTGACAAGGTGCTGAAATCTACATAGATGGTGTTTACTTAGCCAGGAAAGCCCACTAACCAAATGGTATTAATTCTTTGGAGAGGGGAAACGAGAAGTTAGTATTTACTTTCTTTATCTCCCTGATGGATTTTTCTTTCACTATTTTTAATACTAAGTCTCCTGTTAGAAGTTGAAACCATGTAATGAACTACTATCATACAATCCATAAATTTCTCACCCTATTTCTATGGGAAATGTATTACTGAGAAAAAAAATATCAGTTGCTTGACTGGAGGCTGAAATGCAGGTAATGGATAACACAAATAGTGGCAGTGAGTGGGATAGTACAGACAGAACAGTAAGACTCACATTACTGCTTTTGATATTGGTAATTGCTGTCTTAAGAAAAAAAAGAACAGCAGAGACTGACTTCCAGGAAGAAAATTAAATATAACATGCACGAAACCAAAACAGAGCCAACTTTTCCTACCAAGGCTAAGCAACACAAATGTGTGAGACAATCGGTACATGGGCAAACTCAAATAGTTTTGATGGTTTCTGCATACAAAGAGATATGCCAAGAATCGGTTAAAAGGAAAGTCTTCTTTTGCATCCAGGGGCATACCTAATAATAGAAATCCTTCTTTCTTCAGAGTAAAACCATTAACTACGTCAATATTCAAGATTATAGATCTATATTGTGAGAGCTCAATAAAAAATTCAAGACATCTTTTCCATAAACAGTTTCTTACACTTTCAGAAACATCTACTTGCGCCTGGGAAAAAGTGGTATGATATATTATGAATTATTTACTCTGGGAAAGGAAACTTGATGCTGTCTCCTTTTGGAACACGCCAACAAAAGGCGCTTTTTTAATGGAAGGATCTCTTCTTCAAGTAATAAAATTCCACACAATACCCAAGACTAATCTATTATATCAAATGAAAGGTAAATAAAACAAAGAAACAAATATACTGAAGTTTAATGACTGTCCCATAATACATGCAGTCTACAGCAGATCTGAAATTCATGTACAGCAGACTCTCAAACTGTTCTCTGCTTTAGGTACATTCTCACAACATAATTCATAGTAATTAGAAAACATTTCTGAAATAGAAATTTACTTGGGTAGGCAGGAGAAATATTTTACTTTCTGAACATGTCTATATATTTACTAAACTAACCTAAAAGACAACCAAAACTGAGTAACAAAAGGAAAACACACCAAAACACACTTAGATGTATGTAATTGAAACATCTTTACTATAAAGATTAGTAATGATAAAATTACATATTGGGTTGTAGGAACCACAAGTTCCCATTAATTACTCAAACATATGCAAACATAATTATTCTCAACAGGCATAAAACTGTGTGAAAAACATATTCAGGACTTTGTGAACTGCAGTCCTCAGGAACCTCGAGAAGAAGAGCTTTAAAAATACCTCCATGGAGGTGAGATACTACTTGCCTAAACACAGAAACAGACTACCCACAAGTTAAAAGAAAAAGCACGGACCAAATCACTTTTTACCTTTTGCCTCTTTACTCACACATTTAATGACATTGTCATATAGAAAGCAGCATGAGAAACAGAAGCACTTCAAGCATTACATGAACATTAATTTAATCTGTTTGAATTCCAATAATCAATTTACGGATATGCAATGCATGCAGAAGTTTTGGAATGTATTAATTATATCATTTAACCCAACACTTAATCCTCACATTCATACCAGCTTTAAACATATCATTACTGTGTATACAGATGTAAATGTATATTAGTAACTGTGCATGCAATGACTATTGAAATTCCATTTTATAACACCAGTAACAGAACTTTAATACTTCTTCATTTTTACATGCTCATGTAAATACCRAGCAATAAAGATAAGTTTATAAAAACATACTTGAGGAACATTCAACAGGTAACTTCCGTAGCCAACAAACTCAAATGCCAATTAAATCTAACCATTAAAGACAGAGATAGCATTTTAAACTTAAGCATATTCATGGAAGATGCAATGATTAGAATATTGAAAGTACATCCAAACTCTGTTGTATGTTTTGCTACACCATCCTATGCATTTTCAGAAATAAAAGCACAATCTATTAATTTCCAGCAATGACTTCAGAACTTTTTCTGTTCCATATAAGAAGCAAAAGTATCAAATACACCTGTTATGTTCAGAAGATATGGATGTTAAAGAGTATTTTCCTGGATTGTGGATCTTCTAACAAAATTGATTTGCCATAGACACTTCTTAGCAATTTAAGTGCTGCTCTGTCAATATATGTAAAATGTGATGATCATACTCTTCAACTGAAAAGAAACATTCCAGAAGGAAAACACACAGACGCACAGATGCTAGTTCAGAAGACTTTCTCTCAAAAAAAAAAGCCAAACCAAAACCCTAATACATACTGTATTTCAAATATATTTAATGTATTTTTAGCTATCATCTTACTTACCATCCTGCTTTTAGGATTCAATATTTTGTGTTTAAAAAAAGGTAACATTCAATCAATCACCTGCAGCCTTTTAAGATGTAAGGCAATTCTGCTGTTTTATACACACAGAAAAAGTTAGCAGGAATTCTACTTTTTCTAAAGATCAATGCAAAATTTTAAGTATTTATCACATGTACACTGCAGTTCATAGTTTCTTTAGACCTTTTAATCTAAATCAAATTGAAAATAGTCAGGATCTTCCATATACTCTCAGTACAGCTCCACAGTATTGATGATCAGGTTATCAGTTTTTTCAAAACTTTTTCAGGTTATCTTTTTCAAAAATGATAACAACCAAATTAATTGCACTTTTGATGTTTCAAATAGGTTTCTGGTAAATTTTTTTGGTCTTTTTAGGTAACCTGAGCTTGATTGACAGTCTTGAACTCTAACTTCCTATAATAACTTTAAATTTAGCTCTAAATATGATCCTTGTCTGAAAAATGTGATGTGCTGTTGAGAACCTTATTTGGTGAATTAGAAAGTCATGCTGTGGAAAATCAAAGATACATGAGTGAACGTAAGGCATACAAATATGGACTGCAAAAATTTTAGGATAGTATTTGTCTGCTGAAGGAATGACAACAGAGCACTAAAAATAACAGTAAGAGTCCTCCTCCCATTTTTAATAGTCTGCTTGAGCAGCCTTTCATTACTGAGATAGTAAAGATTGTATCTGAGAAGATTCTGTTTTTATAATCTCCACCTATGTGGTTTCTATAAACAAAAACACTTGAAATCCTGTTTATTGTAAACATGAAGGTGGATTCCATGTGTTGTATGTTTGTAGAGCTATAGAACCAGACTACATGAGATTAAGTGGATTCCTCTCCAGGAAGGCAGGAAGAATACTAAATGGAAAATTTTACAACAATAAATACAGTACATTTGCCAGACAATTTGAAATGTAACTATGTACGTATGGTTTATAGTTTGTTGAGTGTTGTTTCATTGTTTTACATCATGTTCCCAGACCATTGTATGCTGAAATAAAAGAGTTGCACGGGACAAACCCATCAATTGTTACTCCCCATATTCATATTTCATTTGGAAAACTTCACAGCAGTTTCATGCTATCATAAAGCCAATTAGATAATCGCTCTCCTAATATTGTGTCAGTGGTACTGAACAGTGAAACGACTGTATATCAAATGGAAACTCATTTGTACTTTGTCTATATAACTCATTTCTTTGCAAACAGTCCTCTTAAAAGGATTTTGAAAAGGCCGATACCTAAAGAGCAACTGGTTTTCCTTTATCTTTGAATTCAAAGACTCTCATCAAATATATGAGTTTCAAATATGAAGATAAATGTGCAATCTTTGGATACCCAAAAAGAAAATTTACTGTAAATTCATAAACATATTCCTGCCTTTCAATTCCTAAATTCAGACTTAGACCAGATCAGCATAAGGACTGCTACAGAAAGCTCTGGATGCTGAGGGAAGGTGCGCTGGTGATTACTCTCAAAAAGATGAGTAGACAGTAACTTTTCTTAATAAGGTATCAGTGGTATTGTATATCAATGGAACAAATACATTTCCTATGAGAGACGAGAAAAACATCTGAGCTGCTGATCTATTTGATAGCAGGTGACTAGACAGAGAGAGAGAGAAAGCTGTGATAGCAAAGATGACTACAACAGCATGGGCAAATGAACACTTAAAACAATTTTCCCCCTGGAATGACAAAATTGATACAATACTGTTTACTTTCCATCCTAAACTTGTACTGCATGATACAATGTAGTGACAAATACAATGCTCAATCTCTAATTTCACTAAGAGTGCTCATTAAGGTGTTTTTTACTAAAGGGAAGAAGATAAAAACACACAAGACACTTCACAGACACAGATGGCCTTTTTTTTTTTTTTTTTTGAAAGCTGGAATCTCTTTCTGGGTTGTCAGAGGTGATCTAAAGTTTACCTTTTTTTACATTCTCCACTATTCTCATTAACATCTTCTGTCAAACAGCTTAATGGATAAGTTTTGATATAGCTCTTATCCTGCCCTCAGAGCAGTATTTAGTACCTTTAAGAAATTGTTTACGTTTTAGAACTGATGTTTGAATTAGCATAGGGTTAAAAAGACACAGCAACAACATGTATCTCAAAGCTGTATCCTATTATAATTACAAAGAGTAATTAATAGCAAATACAAGCATGCAGCACTTTAGCTGCGTGTTATCCACAGTCATCCTGGATTCTATATCAAACATATGATGGATCACCTAACCTCTCTTTCAGTTTAGATTTAAACACATTTTCATTCTACCTGTAACAGAAGGTTGTACAGGTTGTATCAGATCCGGTTGCTTGAGACGATTTCCAGAATAGACAAACCACTCTTTTACCAAAGGATAGTCTCCACCTAAAAAAGACAGAATTGTATCAGTAAGTCAAATGCAAGGATTGACACTAGTGTAACAGCTGGAATCAGCTGTGATCAGGATCCTCAAGTAATAGAAGGCACTTCATGATGACTTGTTCGCTCAGCTAGTTTTAGTATCTTTATGACAAATCATCAGAACCAATAAAGAGAGTTTCAATTATGTGTTGTAAACATGAGTTTGAAGTGGGGAACTGCAACCAAAAATGTAAGTACAAGAGTCTGTGGAAAACATTCTCAAACAAGCTTAAGCCTTCCCACTCCAAGGCAGCTGAGGAAGCTCAGGAGACATCTGGCATAGCTTATGGACCTACATGAGCTACCTCAGTCTCTCAGGACTGTCACACTGTCACATATGAAGGCAGTGCTTAATACAATTCACCTCCCAACTTGCCCTGATATTTCCTCAGGGTTTGAGACAAAATCTTTATAGGGAGGCCTTGATGGCTACTTGAAAGTTGATAGAAATGGAGTCATCCCACTGTCAGATGCAGAGCTTTTACAGCCCATTGCTCCAGACCTTTTATGTAGCATGAAGCAATTGTTTACACCTAATAGCTCAAGTGGCTTTCCTAATCCCTAACCTCAACCCTGCTCAGCCCCACTAAAGAGTAAGGTGTCCCTTAAATTAAAAATTTCACTACAGGCATTGTGCATCTAACTACTTGATGCTTAAATAAAACCCCAACAAACCAACCCTCAGAAAAAAAAAATTAAGTATTAAGAATTTTTGAAATTGGAATTGTCCAATTTACAGTAGTTAGCTCAAAATCATTCCAATGCAAGTCTTCATTAAAAAAAAAAAACAAACAAACAAACAAACATAGAATCAGTGTTACTATCAATGATGCTTTTGCATTCTGTCCAGATTTTTGTTGATTGTAAATGTGTCACAGTGCCCTAAATTGCCACTCTCTGTAGTCTGGTAAACAGTATGAATTAAAGAGGTTTAGCTAGTCCTGGGCACTAGGAATAGTGTTTTCAAATATTTTCTTTTTTTCCTTCCCTTGTCCCTTTCCAGATTCACAGAATTGATCTCTAATTTCTTCCAGCTCTCAACCAGCACTGAAGACACTATTCTTAAAAATTCCTGCCTTTTATCACCAATTCCAATCTCCCTGAAATTTACTGCACAAGTATTTCTGATGCCATGTTGTGAACCCTAATCAAAAATTTCCCCTAGATTAAGCCAAACTACACAAATCTCTCCAACATGGTCCTTTCCTTCTCCAGCCAAAAAGGTTTTGTCACATTAATTTCCTGATCTCATTCACAGCTCAGTGTTGGAGATAACTGTTGGCATGAATAAATGAGTAGTGTGCTATGGTGCAAGGGCAGAAGTTCCTTAGATGAATTTCTAGTGTCAGGGATAAGAGAAGGGAAAAAGAATATGACAAAATCTGGTTTATAACTCTGCTTCTTCCTTTCTCCTTTACCCATGGATCTGCAGCAAAAACTCCCAATAAAGACGAGGGACTGAAGAACCAACACATGGACTATGAGGGACAGTATTACACCTGGCTTGCCATGCTTCACTSTTCAAAAACTGATGACATTAAAAATAAAATAAAAAATGCCTACACTAGGGGGAAAAAAACCCTTAAACTGTACATTCCAGAAGCTGAATAGTCTCACATCTTGATTATAAATCATTGTCTATCATAATGGTATTTCATGAACAAAACCCGTCAATGAAATAACCCAAAGTCACTTTCAGAAAAATTCTGATGCTTTAGCACTTTAAGATTTGGTATGTAGATTACTCTATTTAATTTATTCAGTTCACTCAGACACCTAAATTTTAGTCTGGTTTCTTAAGGAGTCAAACCTAATACAATTAGGACATGTGTCTTATAATTAATTCATGGATGCACTGCTCTGTTTCAACTGTATCTGACAAAGGAGAAGTGATTTCAAATGGATTAAAGCCCTAAACATGTTGTGAAATTGGAGACTCAGCTAACAGAGGGATCCTATTAGGGCACCAACTGACAGGCAGGAAAGTTAATTTACCTGTTGTATCCAAACAGACTGAATGGCAAATCAATACACAAATAGCTGTAGAAGAGCTAGAGCTGAGAAAAAAAAAGTTGAGCTAGAGCTGAGAAAAAGGATTTGGTGACAGGAGGAGGCAATAAGGAACGTGCTTAGGAACACCATATATTGTAGGAGGGAGGGATCAAAGACATGAGAAGTTGCTAGAAAGAAGCATGGAAATAGAAATTGCTGGGGGGAAGTTGGTGGGGAGCATTGCTCTTCATGAGTTCCACAACTCACAGAAAAACTTATGAAAATGTGTTTTGATTCTGAGTACCAGTGAGAGATTATTTTTTACATCAACCATTAAACTCATGAAAAGTAAAAAGAGAAGTCAATAGGAAGTCTACAGTTTCATTCTTTTAATGCTTGTGAATGTAGGTACAGGACACAGCAGCACATCAGCTGAATGCTTTTCACATTAGTAACAAAAATATACTACTGTTCACATAACCAGCCAAATAAACATAGCTGAAAGCAAGGTCCTGCAAACTGACAGCAGATTAACACACCAAGAACAAAACAGAAAAACGATTACTAAATGTCAACCCTGTCCACACGGAAATGTCCTGGGAAAAAAACCCCACTGATTTTGCAAATTTTTTTCCCCACAATGCATACAAAGAATATCACCAATGAAATTCTAAGAAAAGCAGTTCTTTTGTTGAAATAGATTCCAAATGACCTGTAAAAGCACTGCTTAGGCAGCTTAAGGAAAGTGCAAAACATGAGACAGCTGGAAAATGTTATGCGTGTCCCTCTACACCTGCAACAATGCCAGCTCTCCTGGGCAGTCACTGGTGATAACTGGCAAAAATTCTGCTAATGGACTATTCTTTGACATTGTCAAAGTGAGGATCAGTCTGCCTGCTAATGTTAGAACTGGGAGTGATGCCAGGACTTCGAGGAGCTGGCCATGGGCACAGGCTATGTTACATAACCTCCTAACTGGCAACAGCCATGCAGGTGCAGGTATTTTCATGGGCTGAGCCAGTGCCAAAACCTGCTGGCATTGTTCTGTAACTCCTTGCACACATAAGAAAGAGCTGTCTGGCCTATCAGGGTGTATTATTTACTGTTATTTCTCCCTCCTACTTGAATTTTTCTTGGAAAGATGCTAAAGCATTGACAAATATATCAATGTATGCAATATTTCACATATCGTTCAGAAATTGCTCAATTAATTACAAATGTACTTTTGAAATACACAGACAACAAATGCCATGTTACCAGAATCACCATAAGCCGCCTATTTATTTCTGTAGGGTCAAAAATAAGGCAGATTCTCCAATGTTTCCATGAGTAAAGGTACACACATGCCTGCCAAACACCAAACTATACCAAAGGCCATGTTATATAAGATATTCTTTCAGCAGCACTGCTATCTTTTACAGGCAGGCACTGATTTGCTCATTCCCTCGGGATGTTTCATCACAGCTGTTTGTGGCTACACAGAGCCAGATAGGAAACAGAACCAGGTTGGTTACCTGACTACAAGAAAGGCAGAGAAGAGAGACAGGCTATTTTCAGTTTCTCAAACTAGGCCACCACACAGCTGCATAAATAGATGCACCAGCACACCTGAAACAATGCACAGGGACTGAAATGAGTGGTTGTGCAAGAGAATTGTTTAAAGTGGCACTGATCGCAAAAGAAACACTTATCCCACTATGGCTTCAGGCAAAGTGGCCTGGAATAGGCCAATGTTTTCAAAGGATACGACATCCTGCTCCTATGGATTTGTGGGTCTCTTTGGCACCCATGGAAATCTCAACCTAGACATTCAAAACTAACAGTCTCTTGTTTCAGAGTAAGGGAAACAGTTTACATTAGTTTTAACCTGTTCTTACTAACACCGTAAAACCGTAACCACTGCTTTAACCAAGTGCCTCCTTTGCCAATTAACAATAAATAAGCAGATCTGCAAACAGCAAAGAGGTCAGTTTCYACCATATTGTAACTGATGACATCAAGGAGTTAAAAAAGAGGATCACTAACACATACATCACCACTTCAAACTGGAACATTGTGTAGGGTTTGTTGAGTTAGCTTCAAATGTGCTACATCAGCAGCTGTATAATGACAGCAGACTCCACATCGACTAATTTAATTGGTTGTCCTGCGGCAAACTCTTTTGTAATGCTTACCCAAAGTGAAGTGATTCCACTACAATCTCCATACAGTGTAGAATACTTCTTCCCATCCTATCCCTTATCAAATTACAAAAAATTGTCAACTTGACCTCATCTGAGGGAAACTGGTGAAGGATTCTACTTGCTTTGTGAAGAACAAAACTTCCTTGTAGGTCTAGCAGTGAATGCATAAAAAATATGGCTTGCACATACTTATCCATTCCAATACAGACTGTGACTAATGATCTACACTCTTGATTTAGAAGCAAGTATACACTGGAATAAAAAAAACAACCCATGAACTATTAGGAAGTGACATGGTTAAAGCAGTTAGAGGTAGATACATGCACTGAAATTACAGATTTAATAGAGGCACCCATGCAGACACAATCTACCTACCCTTCTCTAAAGGTTAAGGATTGAGGGTGCACTATGATTTACTTTAGAAAATTATCTCTGGAATTGGAAGCCTGAACTGAGAATAAATACCACATCCTATCTGTGGTTGTACTCTAAAATCACTTTCTTAAAATAAGGCAACTTTCACATTAAAAATTCATTTTCAATATGAAATTTAATGAAATATTTCTGTATATTGATTCTAATCTTTGAGTACTGAAACCAATGTAACACAAAGGCAAAGCTGCCTACTACACTGCCATCTTTCAGCAACAATTGTTAATTAGGAATTTTGATCTGGGTGTTTCTGAAAATGTCAGTGAATATCCTACTGCTTAGATGAATAAGTAAAACCCAACCAAGTTACAATTATCTACAAAATTTAGAAGTACTACACCAAAAAATGAAAAATGACAGATGTGCATGATTACTGCTGAGATTTTTGTTGTTCTCTCCAAATTGCTGTGTAAACTCTGATTCAGTTTTTCCTATTATGGCACACCTTCAGCCTCTGGCTGCTGAAGGAAGTCATGTACTTAATTAGCTTTTTGTCTCTTTCTAAGCAAATAGTTTGAATATTAGGTTTGATGGCGGTGCACTTTCATCGATAAAATGTAAAGTGATTACCATGGAGAAATCAACACATTCAAAAGAATAAAAGTTCAGTACACTTTTCATTTTCAACTCACTGGCTGAAAGACACTGTAAAGATAACATTTAACTAATGGAAATCTTAAAAACATGAAATTGGTCCAAGGATATGAATAAAGAATTTTCTGTCTTCATGGTGATGAATGCAAGCACAGATATAAGTACCTGCTATCAAATTTGTTTATACCATTGTATAAGGAAATAATATTTTCTTACACTTGTATGAAAGAACTAATAATCACTGGCATGACTATTTGCATTTGTATTATTACTGTAACTATATTTGACTGTTCTGAAAATTACAGACTTAAAATCAACAGAAGGTAAACTTTAACAGTGCATTGTTGTGCAGCAAAAGTGTATTACAACTCACTAACTCATCTGGAGCCACGCTTATCCAAGCAACATAAGTTTCATATACTCTCAAATGTCTCAAAAATCTCCTAAAGATCATTGTTTTGGTCAATTTTTTGATCATTAACAACTTTCACGACCTGCCATTTAGCAAGGAAAAGAACGCCTGTTTTTAAAAATCACTTTGAAAGCACTGAAATGTAGAAAAAGCCCCACAATTTTACTCACGCATTTTCTCTTACTTCCATAAGAAGTACATTTCAGCTGCTCTCAGTTTTTATCCCAAATGCATTTTCTATCCTAAATGCTGATGTAGCCACTGAAGCAATGAATTCAAGATTTCATATTTCAAAATTGAAATTATACATGAATAATGGTGTAAGTAATTTAATCCTTACCTTTTCCAGATTCCAACAGGATAGAATAAATATGCTGACGAGCAGKACGGTAGATAAGTGCCTGTCCAGGAATCTCTGTATCACAGTCATCTTCCAAGGAGTTGCTGCACTCGATCTCTCCATTACTCAGGATATTGAAGATTGAATAATTTTCAGATTGGATATGCTGTTCTTTAGCTAACTGTTCAAAGAAGAAAGAAGGTATTATCTCCAAAATTAAAAAGAATCAGTAAGTAACAAAATGTATTCACTGTTTGAGGAAATAGATCTGTCTCTATCAGTAGAAATGGAGGGAATAGCCAGGGAGGGAACAAGTGCTTTTTCAAACAACATCAGTTATAGTATATTTTCAGACATCCATCTTTTTGTGGACAGGAATCCCTAGGAAAGCCATCATTGTCTTTTTTAGCACCTCCTTTAATTATTAAAACTTGTGAGCTTGAATGACAGTTTACTAGAGACTAATTATTCTTAAAATGAATTCTGAATTCCAGCATAGCTGCCCTCCTTTGGTCACTTGAAAATCTATCTTCTCTCTTTAAACAGCGAATGAAGGCATGGCAAAATGCAAACTTCTAATTTTATAGCAAGATGAACTACGTAAGACAGCTGCATTTCTGTCCCAACCTGACTTGGTGTAGTTTACATTCTGGTAAAATTAAAATATTTAACTTCACCATGCTTTTACTTTGCAATAGCTCTTCACCATGAAAATAAACACAATCTACTCTAGTGAGGAAAACGAGGTCTGCAGACACATTGCTGAAAAGCAGAATTAACAGCATCACCCAGGCTGCACATTAACCACACATTGGATGCAGTCACATCTGGCTACAGCAGCTGGCTACGAGCAGCCTCATTACCAACAGGGTCTGCTGGTCTGGAACAGCCAAGATGAGAAAGCAACAAAGAAGCTCTCAGGCAGCACAGAATTCCAACCAGTAACACTTGTGATCTGGACTGGCCAAGCATAGAGACACAGATTTTCTACTTCACAACCTCAGACCAAAACTCTGGGGGTGTTCAAACAGCTGAGCAGAGTGAATTATTTCCATGGGGTGCCACTAATAAATTCTCCAGGACCTGTGCCATATGGTGAGCAGGCACTGATGTATTTCTGCTCTGCACTCCCTGCATGTGTCACTTGGGTTGTGCCATCCACACAGCTATCACAGACTCTTTCACTGTGAGTTACTGGACCACTGGCCAGAACCAAATTCACCATTCCTGCAGATTTCCAGTATCTGCAAACCTGGGAACTCAGCAGGTCAAAGTTGAAGTCAGTCACTGAGTCATTACTCACTAAAACTAATTCTACTAGAACGTCATATTTTCAGTGTACAGTGCCATTCAACAGAGCACTTATACAAAAAATTAATGGCTTCCCTGCAAGAAATACTTCAGTACTCCTAACACATGTAAACAATGTAATACCCCAAGTATACTTTTGTATAAAATAAAAACAGAATGTCAAGTATAAGCATGAGGTGAAAGAAGCACTATTTCACAGAAACCAGTCACAGATATGAGATCATCAACAACCCTAGTTTATTGCAATTTGCCAATAATCTACACATCCTTATGTACTGAAAAAACTACAAGCTGATTTCAAAAGTATTGCTGTATTCAATGTCTGTATCTTGAAAAAGAATTGCTTCATACCTACAATCAGCTAGAAAATTATGCTCTTCTGAGAGAAACAGCAACATGAGGCTGTGTCCTCATGGTTGGAATTGAGCTGTGTGTGTCATTTACATACAGTTCAGACGATGTGCAAGGTAAGCAGAACTACACATGGGTTTCGAAATATGAATTAGACAGCACATATTACACATACAAATATTTGAACACTTATAACAAAAACAAAAGAGAAGCTAACATTGTCTAACATTTTAACTGTAATTTCCTTGGCCCAAAGAGTGGCTTCATGTAGGATTCATGCAGCAACAGTGAATGGTTCTTCAATGGAGTTTCTAAACATTATTATTTTATGAGAACAGTAGCTCAGCATGATGCTTCAGAACTTCAGATTAAAGACCTTCAGATTAAAGACCAAGCCAAGAAAAAATGACCACTTGTCATAAAGACTGCATGGTACATTCTCTTAACGAATAAGGTTATTGCCACTATTGTCCTGTCCATAATCCAAGCTAGATAATTGCATTCTGGCTATTTTTTTCTTGCACTTCAAGCATAAAGAGTATTTTTCAACACCTTATTATGATATATGGCTGCTGGTTTTAAAAAATATGTTCTATTTAACTACAATAATCAAAAGCGATATGTATTGTATTGAGGTCCGGTTAGTATAAAAGCCCAAATATATCTAGCTGAAATTAACATTGCATAGGTTATAATGTAGTTATAAAATGTTTTATAGTCTTTAGAAAGGAAAATGTAAATTATGTGATTACTTTAGCATAATATAAGGAAACAGAAAAATAGTTTTAAAGAAAATGCTCAAGATAAGCAAGAGAAACAAAAAAGGTTCTGTGTTTGAAGTCATAAGGATCTAATAAAACAATAGATGGCTAATATAGGGTCTAAATACACTTCCGTGTATAGATTTTCTTAAAAATCTCAATATATTTCCATGAGTTTGCAGAATTGTACTCTAAATTTACTACTATTCCAGAAAATCTGATGCAAGGTAGCCCATCTTCTGATAGCCAGATAGGCCACCCTAAGCTAATATATCCAGTTTCCCAGAGTGACTCAATCTGACATACCATATCTCGCCCCAACATCAGTGCATCCCTGTCCATGTGGGAAGCCATAAGTAAAACTTGCTACTGCAGACCTACCCTTTGGGAATTAATAAGCCCATTGAAGTGCTTTTGGGACAATGAAAACTGGAACCAAAAATCACAAAATACAGACTTATARCATTTGACACTGTCCTGCACAACATCCTTGTCCCTGAATTGGAGAGGCATGGATTTGTCAGATGGAACTCTTTATGGATGAGGGATTGGTTGGATGGCCACACTGAAAGAGTTGTGGTCAAAGGCTCGATGTGCAAGCGGAGACCAGTGCCAAGTGCTGTCCTCAGGGTTCACTACTGGGACCAGAACTGTGTAAYATCTTCAGCATCCTACAGGCGGTGGGATCGAGTGCTCCCTCGGCAAGTTTGCTGGTGACATCAGGCTGTGAGGTGCCATCAACATGCAGGAGGGAAGGGATTCAGCCCCAGGAATCTGGACAGGTTTGAGAGGTGGTCTGTGCAAACCTCATCAATTTTAACAGGGCCAAGTACAAGATCCTGCACTTGGGTTGGGGCAATTCCAAGCACAAATATTGGCTGGATGGAGAATGGATTGAAAGCAGCTCTGAGAAGGGCTTTAGGGTGCTGCTGAATAAGCACCTTGACCTGAGCCAGCAGTGTGCGCTCCAGCCCAGCTGCACCCTGGGCTGCATCCAAAGCAGCGTGACCAGCAGGCATGGGAGGGGACTCTCCCTGTCTACTTTGCTCTGGTGAGACCCTACCTGGAGTGCAGTGTCCTGCGGTGTCCAGGAAGGACTTCAACTGTTGAAGTGAGTCCAGAGAAGGGTTGCAAAGATGATTAGAGGGCTGGAGCACCTCTGCTATGAAGACAGGCTGAGAGAGCTGGGGCTGTGTAAATGGAGAAGAGAAGGCTCAGGAGACACCCTAGAGCAGCCTTCAAATACCTAAAGGAGGCTACGAAAGAGCTGGAGAGGGACTTAGCACATGGGTGTGTAGTGACAGGATGAGGGGAAATGGCTTTAAACTGACAGAGTAAATTTAGATTAGATACTAGGAAGAAGCCCTTTGCTCTGAGGGTGGTGAGGCACTGGCCCAGGTTTCCCAGAAAAGAGCTGGATCGTTCCTGGAAGTCATCATTAAGGCCAGGTCGGATGGGACTCTGAGCATCTAGTGGATGGGACTCTAGTCTAGTGGAGGTGTCCCTGCTCAGGGCAGGGGTTTGGGACTAGGTGATCTTTAAGGTCCCTTCCAACCCTAACCATTCTATGGTTCTATGACATGATTCTGTAGGATTTTCCATGTCTCAACAAGAGCAATTTCAGCTTCTGCATGCTTAGCACAGCTACCTTTGATACCTCTACTGCATGTGCCATGGACAGCCAAGCAGACCACTAACCAGCTTATGCCTGATCTGTGAGTTGTCAAAGTCAATACACCAATCATTTAAACATGGGAAATTATATAACACATGGGAAGTAAATTTCTRTGCCCAGCTGCTGGCCTGTACAGGAGCTGTTCCCCATTATTTGACCAGCTTGACACTTCAAATAGAGACAAACCACTTCTTAATAAATGTGCTGCATATATGCTCATGTTAATGCATGCAATAGTCCTAACTGAGGGTCTACTTAACAGACAAAAGATTTTAGCATAAGCAAATTTAAATCAATAGGGTTAATGTACGTATTACTAATTTCAACTAAGAAGTCATGGCAATAAAATAATTGTTAAGCTTTAAAAAACAAGTTACCTGAAAGATTTCTTTATCTTGACAGAAAGCTGATTGTTGTTGAAAGGATAACATTTGACAATTTGTTATATTGGGAGGAATCCATGGAGACTGCTGCCCAGGCAAAAGATAGGAGCTCACTCCTCTGTAAAGCAATGTCTTGTCTGATCCCAGAGGTAGCATCTCTTCCAAGTGTCTCAGGCTGCTGTATGAGCATGGAATTTTTGAGATGTAATTTGCTACAGATAGCAGTATATTTGTTCTTCTGCTGTAGCTGTTATTCCTGTGGGGACTGTTGATTAAACATTTGTGCCAAAAGCCTTCTAACAGGCTTTCTGGAACAACATCATTGCCAAGCAAGCACGCAAAGAGAGGAAGGTGTGTCAAACTAATACCCAGTACACGGCAAAGAACTTCTCGAGAGTACATAACAGTGACCAGTCTGTCCAAACGGAGGTTCTCAATGGAAAAGTAGGGGCATGTATTATAGATGAGGTAGTCACTATCTTGCCCTAGAATTCCTATACAGTCGTGTTGCAAACCATATGCAGCCACCTCAAAGTCTGCCTCTTGCAAAGTGCAGACTGTTTTTTGACCAAGTGATTTCAGAGCGTAACGTGTAAAAGTAGGCAGAGCTGAAGGAAGAACAAACATTTCTCTCCCTGGCTGTTTCCTGTGAGTCTTAATAAATTGGAATAATCTGGCTATTTCCTCGGTATTCTTCATCCTCCGTTTGATCCACTCCTCCCTCTTTTTCTCTTCTACCACTCCGTCAAAGTAAAACACCAATTTGATACCAGCTGCCATAAAAACTTTGATAAAATCCTCTAAAATGGCAAGGTACTCTCGCCACTGGCCACCACACACCCAGGATTCTGGTGTGTACCAGTGTCTCACGCAACCCATGGCATCTACTACGATAACTGGTGGGGAATCAGGATGATCAATGCGATGTTTTTCTGCCATTTCTCTCAGATCTACCGTTTTGCATGCATCAGGGCAAACTCTTGCCACAAATCCCTGCAAGCCTTTAACACCCATGGCTGATCTCCAGAACTCACAGCAGTCTGAAAGAAGAAAAGTGAAAACAACATTCTAAAATGCAATACTGAAAAACAGTGGAATGCTGCAGTAATAATAAAGCTGCTTGGAAATTGAACTGGTTTTTTTTTTGTTTTGCCGTTATTTTTTTTCTGCTTTTGCTGACAGCGCATTGCCTTATCCCAGCTTTTAACAATTTTAAACAGCTCATTTCCCATCAGCAAACTGAACGTAACTACTCATTCATTCTCCCTTTCACTTACGGTTTTTATATCAGTAAAAAATGTAAATATAGAAAGATTTTCATAAATATGACAAAAAAAATCACAGAATCACTGAATGAGTAAGGCTGGAAGGAATCACAGGGGTCATCTAGTCCAACCTCCCTGCTCCAGCAGGGTCACCCTAGAGCACAAGCCACAGGATTGTGCTCAGACAGTTCTTGAACATCTCCAGTGAGGGAGATTTCAGATTAATACCATCAAGAAAAGCACACAATACTAGAAAAACAAGGATGGATTATTATTTTTTTTAATTAAAAAATATACATATGGTATTCAAAAGGGAAAGAAAGGTGAGCTTGCAAAGTATTGTGAATAGATTTTAAAAACATTCAGAAATCCTATCAGTTAAAGACAGAGTTCTGAATACCACTCTCTTTAATCACAATTTGGTTTAGAAGGGGCCTTCAAGGACCTTGCAAGGTGCGGGGGCCGCTGCGCGCAGCCCCGACAGCACCGAGCCCCAGCCCCGGGGTACATGCGGCGCCCAGGCCGCGCTGCCCGCGCACACCGGGGCTGAGGCAGCCCCGCCCCGGGGAGGCCCCGGGCAGTCCCCGGGCCCCGGCCCCACCACCCCCGCGCATCGGCTCCAGCCCCACCGCCCCAGCCCGGCACTGACCCGAGCGCCGCTTCCGCTTCCTGCGAGGGCGGGGTCGCGCCTGCGCCCGGCGGCGGGACGGGCCTGCTTCGGGAGGGGCCGGGCCACTGTCGGCCCCGCTGTCTGCGCCTGGTGATGTGGTTCCTTGGCTTTGTACGAGGAAGGGGCCCGAGGGGCCGTTGTGCCCCCGTGCAAACCCGGTCGGCACGGCGGGACGGGGCGAGGGACATGAAAGCGTCGCGCACCGAAATCGCTTCAAAGCCCCCCGAGTTGTACCTCGGACATTTACGTCCCTCCTTGGCAGCGCGACGTTTGGCGAAGGGGCGGGTGTAGGTTCGCTTGGCGTGCCCGGCGATTGCCAGCGGAGGGGATCCCCCGTTTTTCCCCCGTACCGCATATCCCGGTATAATGCCCTGGCTGCGGGCCGGGAGCGAGACCCGCTGCCAGCTCGCCGGCAACAAGTGGGGGACCTGAATAACTTCACATCTTTTCGGGAGGGGGAAGAGGGASACGGTGGAGCCCATGGGAAGATTAGATCAGATGTTATTGCCGGTGAAAAATTAAACAGAGCAGTGCTCTGGGGAGTGCAGATTAATATATTTGGTGACTTCGTGTGCACAAAGCCTCACCATTGTAGCCGTGTCTGAATGCCTATGAATAGGATGGAGCATATGTGGCCTGTCACCGCAGGTGCCCACATCTGTTCGTCTCCGGGCAGATGCTCTCAGAAAAGGGGAGAGTGTTTCCAAAAGCTCAGGCCCGCCTCATCCATACCCATCCTCTTTCTCATAATCACCTTCTGCAGAGGAGTTTTTACCCCCACCTTCTCCCACCACCCTGCCTTCCCTGAACGTGGAGAGATACCGAAAGAAATAAAACTGCGCAAATTGGAAGAGGCTTGGAAGCATATAATCAAACAGGTGCCCCCTCTCCTCCCCCAAAGTTTATTAGCAGCAGGTTTTGCACTGCAGCTAGCATACAATGCTCAAGATGCACACACTGCACAGGGGGCTGGAGGCTGTAGGGGAACAGAAAAACTCTTCATGCATGAAATGGAGTGCAGTACAGCAGCAGGCTGTGCTGTCACAAGGCTCTAGAGAGCAGCCTGTGCAGCTACAGTCTGGAGTAGTAGTTTGCCGCTATGATTTAGAGTTCTGGATTATGATGACGATTAATATTACTGAGCAAAAGAGGGAGTTTCCCTGTGAGAACTGATGAAGGCAGCAAATATAGCTATTTGAGTTGGTAGCAGAGCAGAAGGGAATCTTTCCAGACATCCGGAAAATCCTTATAGCCAGAATGCAGAACATTTTTTTGAGAAGTGCCATCACACTTTTTATCCCGTGTACATGATCTGAGCTCTATTGCTCACCCTCACTCTCTGTGATACCTCTGGCAAGACAAGCCAGGCCTCAGCACTGCATCGGGTTACACCAGGCTTGCTTGACAGGGCAAATGGGGTGCTGGGGCACAGGGTAAATATCAGGATTGTGGGATATTTTGTGTGGTAAGGCTATTCAGGATGTTTTCTAGTTCAAATGCGTTACGTGGTTTCTAGCATAGTGAAGATCTTGGGTATCCTTGAATTTAAGGGTGGGCAAAGATGCCATTACTCCAAATGCAAGGCCGAGGTGCTCTCAAAAGGGGCCCGGGCAGGGAGAGCATTTGAAACTGCATGTCCCAGAGCAGAGGCCAGGAGAAGGAATGCCCAACTCAGGGCACCCACGGGAGGTTTCAGAAAAAATGGTGTCTCAGAGCAGGGAGAACCCGAGCACTGAGGGAGGGCAGAGCAAGGGGAAGTCTTCTTCCCCCGAGCCCCTGATGTCCCTTCGTTCACGGAGGGGCCCCGCAGTTCTGTCCCCTGGACGGAGGTAAGCAGCCCTTCACCCTTCCGACTTTGAGAGCAACGACAGCTCACGCACACGAGTGACCAATTTTATACCTCTTAGTTTCCCACAAGCAAAATCCTGTCGGAAGCGAGCCAGGGAGCAAACCCAAACAAACAAGTAGTGTAGGGAAACGGGGTCGGGACGGGGGGAGGGGGTATCTCGCTTTCTCCTCTTGTGCAATCAGTAAAACACATATAGGGACCACTTCGGGATTTGCCCAGGGAAGGGTTGGAGAGCAGCTGGCTGCGGTAATCTCCTCGGGAGACAAAGGAATGCCTCGTCCCAGGACCACAGGTAAACACACAACCATTGTAATGAAAATGAGGGGCTAGGATAGGGCCGGAGCAGATGATTTGCGATTTGAAAAAGGGGGCTGGGGGGAAGGGAAGACCCAGAGCTGCTTATCTATCATCTGGCCTCGCTGTGTGCCAGCTGAGCCACGCGACTGCCCTTTCTTATTCTAATCAGCACATGCCTTTGCAACTTTGGGCTAACCTACACACTAAACTTCTTAATCCTCCTCCCCGCACATGGCAAGAGCGGCGGAGGGCCTCTCCGGCACCGCGACACCTCCAAGCCCCTCCCGCACCCGCCTCGGGCTGGGGCGCCCCAGGGTGGGGCTCGGGGCAGCCCCGGCACACCGGTCACGCCGCCGAGCCTGGGGCCAGCGGGGGAGCCAGAGCCCCGCCTGCCCTCCCTCAGCTCCCCATCCCCTCCCGCCCGGCCCGGTCCGGCCCGGCCTGGTCCGGAGGAGCAGTGGAAGGGGGCGTGCGGCGGAGGGGCAGCCGCGCACACATACCTCCATAGGGACTATAGACCTAATTAAAATATTATGCACACTCGGCTACACATAGCTCCACACGTACACGTCCCTCCGCTGACGCATCGTTCGCCATATGCCTGGAGCCCTCCGTCCCGGGAAAAATCACGGTTGCACGCCAGCGATAGCAGCGCGTCGCCCTAATTAACACACGGACATATCCCACCCACACCCCTTTCTAAGTGACTTTTCCCATAATCTGGCTCGCTTAGAAATAAAAGATGCGGCTGATGGGGAGCTCTCGGCCGCGGTATTGTGCGGCGCGACTGTAAATACTCGCTGGAGCAGGAAAGGGGGGCTGGCGTTGCGGGAAGGATATCAATTAGGGGCAGGGAGGGAGAGCACAATGCCCCACCAGCCCCAGCAAGCCGCTGGCAGGCGGAGTCGAGTCCGCCGCGTCCCTGCCGTGCGGAGTCGCCGCTTCCTGGCGGGGCCCCGGGTCTCGCGCCCGCCCCCGGGGGTCCCGCTCCAGGCTCACGCGGGCGGGGCGAGTGCGGCCGGGCAGGGCGTCGGGAGGGACTGGACGGGACGGGACGGGACGGCACTGGCCTCCCGTCCGTGCCCGGCGGCGGGGGCCGTGGCTGTGCGCGGGCACGGCTAATAGCGCGGGGGCGGCGGGGGGCGACGGGCGAGCGCGGTGCGGAGACACGCGGTTGGGAGCGAAAAAGCGCCATTTGGTTGGGAGCAGATGGCTGGCTGGGGGGCTGATCGCGTCTAAAGGCGTGTCATCCCCCTTCAGCGAGAATCCCTAAGGGCTCCCCTTGTCTTCGAAATCAATGAAAATTAAAGTGCAGAGAATGGATGAATAGTTAGACCTCGAGTCCCTCCTTTGTTCGCCTCAGCTACTGGTGGGCAGGAGTTAAACTACAACAGCCTCCTATAGAAACACTTAAGTTAAACAGTCTCCCCGTTAGTCCAGCATCTGAAAGAGAGAGGGAGAGGGGGGGAAAAAGCAGAAAAAGGAGCTTTCTGCTTGATTTCCCCAATACAGAATCGCGTGGCATAAATTAAGCTGGAGAAGAATGAGCGCCGTGGGCAGGATCCTGCCGGCTCTCACGGCGCCTTTCAGTCACGCTCAGCAGCGGTAATCGAGAAATCTGTGCCACGTCAATTTAACAAATACCCGGTACCAAAGGGGGGTTGTTAAGGATTTGGGGGCAAGTTTTTTTTCTATTTGGGTTTTTTTTCCCCTATCGCTCGGTTAAAGCTCTCGCGCGTGTAACTTTTTATTTCCACTTTTTTTAAGCAAGGGGATGCTAATGGACCAACTTTCTATCTCTCGTAGATTAAAAGATCCGCGGTAATATATCACTTCTCGCCTCCACCGACGTGCCACCACCAAATTTCAAGACAGATATTGCCGCTCACCACTCCCTCTTCCGCCCCACTCGCTTAGTAAACCCCATACGAAATGATGTTTTCCCCCTCTCTTTTTCCCGGGGATAACGCCGCAGCAAAGTTTCCGAAGCAGAGACAAGCCACTTGAAAAGATGTTGACGCTAGGTGGCAAAAGTAATTTGCAGTGAAAACCGGCGCTGCTGCGGGATGCGCCCCCCCGCTCTGCGATGCCGAGGCTGGGCACGGCGGGGTCGGGCAGCCGGGCCTCCGGGAATCCGCCACCCGCTCCGCTCTCTCCTGGACCACGTTCCCTGCGTTCTCGCACGGTTCCTGCGGGATCGCTGCTCTCCTCTCTGCCCAGATACTACGCCGGGGGAAAAAATTTCAAATCCAAACATTCCTGTACATTTAAAGTTTTGCTTATGGGGCAAAAGGGGAGGAGAGAGTGGAGAAGGAGAGCACTTGGATGTGGATGGCTCGTTCGGCCACAATTAGATGTAAAGGACACACGTTGAGGGGCAAAACGTTGCAAAGATCTGGATGCTTGTACCGAGGGTTGGGGTAGGTGACCTGGGTTTGGGGTAGATGCCACAAACCCTTGGTAAATGAACTTGGGCAGCTACAGTCCTGGAACAGTAGAGAAGAGCTGGGCTGAATGAACTCATTTCTTTTAATTGGTTTTACTCAATGATTTTCTTTTAATTGGTATTACTCAATGCTTTTACTTTAAGAAGTCTTTAAGATTTTTTTTTTTCCTAGCGCATTGTAAGATAATTTGTGATCAAGACATCTGCTTCAATGGAAGTCACATTTTGCCATGCAAATGCACGTTTCAACTCAATAAAGTCGMCATAATAAGGCTTTTAGCACGGCATATCTACAGTGAAGTTATTGTAGCCAAATCCTCTCCTTTTGCACACAAGCTTAATCTATGCTGAAATGATCTGTTACAATTAAAATGACATTTACGGAGACAGTTACACCTTCTTGCATCCTAATGAATCCGC